TTTGAGCTTGAAGTCGAGCCTCCTTGAATTTTGACATCTAATAGCTTTGTTTGCATGTGACTTATTACTTTTCAGTAGCCAGTTCTGGATTGAAGCAAGTCACATTTCACAATCACTACTTGGCCTCAATCTTGAAAATTTATGACAATGTTGATACCTGAGAACCCTGCCAACAAACAAATATTATTTACTGTAAAAGCCAATAAGCGGTTACAACCAACACCATGGAAATAGAAAATAAAAACAGGCATAATGCATGACTAGGGTGGATCGAAGGAGGTGGTGGTGACTGCTAAGGGCTTAGAAAGGTGTCTACAAGGTGGTAGGGGGACTGGACAATGTAGAAACAACTTATTTTTTGTCCGGAGCAGCCAAAACAGTCACAAGGTGGATTGTGGTGGTTGTCACAATAGTAGGGTTGTAGGAAGAATGATTCTAGGCGGCTAACAACAAGGTGACGATAAGGGGGATGGATTCGGGTGTCCGCAATTGCAGCAAGGGTGCCCGAGGAATGATTTTGGGCTGTTGACAATGAGAAGGTGGCAAGGGGGATTGTTCTAAGTGGTTGGAACATTAGCATGTATGATTCTGGCTACTGGAACAATAACAAGGTTGCAGGAGGAAGGATTCTGAGTGACTGGCAATAAGGAGGCGGCTATAGGAAATGAATTGAGCAGGAACTGGGGAAAATAGCCTGGATGTGGTTGTCAGGTTGGCTGCAGCGAGGAAGGAGGAATACATGGCAGCGAATCGGGAGGGATGCAGATGAGTCGATGGAGGATAAACATCACCTCAGAAGAGAGATACTACTGGAGCACCACTCAGTGGTGCCCATGCATACAACCATAGAAGAGAAAACTTGGTCACCAACGGTTGTCCTGGCAGAATACACAATGAAAAATTGATCGAAAATATGAAAACAACATACTTATAGTCCTAGGGTAAAGCAGAGCACACCGCTCTAAATAGCAGGGAAGCCCATGTTTGGAAGGACCAGTCAATCCCTTCGTTGCCTGGACTGAACTGGTTCAGGAAAAGAAATTGCGACATTTGCCGCTTGGGCGTTGGACTCCCTGCGTGGTTGCTGGACACCAGTGTCAGTCTCCTGCCATTGGGGGAGCTTCGACCTCATCCATCAGAACTTCTATTTCCTTGTGGTATGGCCTCAAGTATGCTATGTTGAAGGTGGCGAAGATGTTGCAATCTCCCGCTAAGTCAATTATGTAAATGTTATCATTCCAAAGTGCATCCTGATTGAATAAATATCTTTCATCCTTTGGCACAACTAGAACTGGAACTACACGTGGATGAGTATCCTCACGAATCAAGCCTCAAGTCATCAAATCTGTAATTGATTTTTTCTACTCTTCGTACTTGCTCAATTGTATCTAGTAGACAAGTATGTAAGGAGGAATCAACTCTCAGATAAAATCTATGGTAGATTGGGCAACTCTTAACAACAACCACTCATGAAATGCCTCTTCTTCTATGGTAGGACCCAAATCTCATTGTCGGATGTTTTTTCCCCAAAAGATTCGAAGGCAATTTCTGGCACTGTGGTTCATCCATCATATCTGATCATCTATCGGTGGAAGAATCTAGAGTAGTTCACAAACATCTTGAAAGAGTGCCACAATATTTAGACGATTCTAGGATGATCTACTGTAGCCTAGACACATTTGGAAGAACTTGCAAGTTTTTGAATGGTTCAGAAATATTTTGGCATTCTCCAGAACTCCTTACAACTTTAGAGACACTACGAGTAATGTAGAATCTTTTGTAAGGTATAATATTCCATACATAGATATTTCTCATGTAATTTAGGATTCTATAAAGATTCATTATGGGCGTAGCCTACGAATAACATCTACTTCGTTTGTAATCATCATAGAAAATTCAAGAATCAATAGTCCTGTGAAGCTTTCTAAGCTCAAACATTTAGTTTTCACTTTTAGAAGTTCTCTTGTCTTTTTTTCTTTGTTTTCTTAGCATTTTAGCCAGTCATTTGTGGAAGTTAGGTTGTCTTAACATCAATGTGTGCTGAAATTACACTATTAGCTTGAAGATGGTTAGTCCATGACATCATGCTCTCTTGAGTGAAGTAAGACATTGCTTTAAAACATTTTTTAATGAATTTTTTGAGTGATAAAATAAAAATAATTACATTAGTTATAGTTGTTAAAGAAATGAATTTTCAATCTTCATTGTATCCATAGTTAAAATTTCTTCTTGCTAAATTGATATTTTAAGACTATATCTAATAGTCATGTTTAAATAACTTTGACAGCCAAATTACACGAGTTTATAGTATGTTGGTCTTAGCTTCTCCTCTAGCTCGGCAAATTAAATTCCTTCCATTGAAACTTAGCCTCTCATCGACTTTCCAAAAATAGCATCCTTGTTACCTCTAGTACAACTTCCTTGTTAAATTGGTCTCTTTTGATCAAAACTTGGCCTCCATAGCAAATTGATCGCTTCCAATTGAAACTTAGCACATCACCAACTTATCCAATTTGTCCTCCTTGGCTCTCCCTGCAAGTTTGTCCCTTGATAAGTTGGTCTCTTCAATGGTTGGACTTCTTTTGCCGAAACATGGCCTATTTACTGAGTTCCCCAAGTTGCCCCTTCCATTGAATTTTTCAAATCAGTCTCCTCTGTCTTATCAACCCTCAAGTATTCAACACTAGGTTGCTCGATCCAATCCTTCTAGAAAGGACAAGTGTTCATCATACTTAAGAAACTTATCATTACATTAACCACTTATTTTCATGTTTCTCATTTCTTTGGGATGGGTAGTTCCCATTAGAGTTCGAGCAAAGTCGAGTCGAGTAGAGTTATGTTTATGCTTGAGCTGTTTATAAAATTCGAGCTTGAGCTCATTTCAAGGGGTTGTGTTTAAGCTTGAGTTTGTATATAAAATTTGAGCTCGTGCCGAGCTTGAGCTCAAATCTAGCTTTGTGTTTATGTTCAAACTTAGTTCCTGTTTGAGTTTGTTACTTGTTCTATTTCATATGATGATAATCAAGCAATTATCGAACTAATTAATGAGTAAATTATCGAGCTACTTAATTTCTATCCAAACAATCTTTATTGAGCAAATTAAACTTAGTCTATTGCGTTATTTGTTTTCTAACTAAATAAGATTTATTGAACAAAATAATGAGTAGTATGGTTGAGCAATTTATTTTATAATCAAATGAGCTTTATGGTGCTTATAAATGAGTTACTTGTTGAACTTACAAAAATAAATGAGATTTTAAATGAATGAGTTATTAAATGAATAACTAAAATAAGTATATAAATGTGTAAAATAAATGAACATCTAACCAAATAAGTTCTTATTTTGTTTTATATACTTCAACTTAAAATTTAATTTAATTTCATTTAAATGAATTTGAAATTAAGCTTTATTGTGCTTATAAATGAATTATTTGTTAAATTTACAAAAATAAATGAGCTTTTCAATGATTGAGCTATTAAATGAATAGCTAAAATGAGCATATAAATGTGAAAACTAAATGAACAATTAAATTAAATAAGTTTTTATCTTATTTTATGTGCTACGACTTAAAATTTAATTTAATTTAATTTAAATGAATTTGAAATTAAACTTTAGTTGATTTTATGAAAAATATAAATTAAGTTTTAACTGATTTTATTCATAAGCATTAAATTGATCATATTTATCAACTTTAAATGAAACTGTTTATCGAACTTTTTAACGAGCTTGTTTGTGAGTTTTCAGTGATTTTATTCGTGAACATAAATGAATCCAACAAGGTGTATGATTTTTCATTTAACAATCACGCATTTATAAAGTTTTCAAACTTGTTCAATTAGTTAATTGTACAAACATGAATGAGCTCTTATCGAGCCGAGTTACGAGTAGCTTGTGAAACACTCGGTTCATTTGCAGCCCTATTTCCCACTATGCATGCATCATCTTCATGTCGCTCTCAAGGTTCAACCACTTGTTTGTCATTTGACTATTCATTAACTTCCATCTGGCACATGGTCGTCTCCCAGCTCTTCATGTGGATCATATTTGGTGCCACCACCAATGATGGCCGTGTATTGATGGCCTGTTGCTATCCACCAGCTCAACACCACTTCTTGCCACAAGATTGCCTGTAAATATTTGCTTTTGCGCCTTTGAGAGGGCCAATTTTTTACTTCGCTAACATCTAAACTCCTAAAAAGACCAAAGAGAGGTACTCTCCTCTTTTCAATCTTTTCTTTCCCTTCTTGTTGCTGCCACTTAGCATGGCAGGTGGGCCTTCCATCTGCCATGTTCAAATTTTTTTTTTTTTAATTTGATAGTGAACTCCGCTCCCTTATTGTATATGCTATAATGCAAACTACATACATGCCAGTTTTGTACGTCTTTTAGCATTGCATCCCTACCTTGTCCTCTTCTACAGGGCCACATCTCTCATCTGAGGCCCGTCAACATCATCTTCATGAACGGTTTGCTAGCCTCACTTCATCATAGCTTTCCTCCCTCTAGTTGGGACTTAACTCAAGTGATGCCATTGCTTCGTGGAGCAATTCTTGCAGTTTATAGTTGCTGAGAGTTGTGATTTTTTTTTCTCATTAGAAAAATTTACTGAGAGAAAGAGAGCTTCAGAAATTTTTAATGGTTTATAGAGGTAGAATATATAATTTGTAGTGTGCTGTATGCTTTAACATAATGCTTTCCACTGTATTCATGATTTTATTTTGTAGAGATAAAATAACAACCAAGCTTGCGTGCATAACCTATCATGTGGTCCAACAGTCGAAAAAACATTTCAGTGAGCATCGTAGATCCACTTGATTTTGGAATATTAGAAAAAAAAAATTACATATATGGATCTTTTGAACAATTGTGGAAAGGGTTCTGGATTAAAAAAATTACAATACTTCATTAAATGAATAAAAATAATTATTTTTCAGAATAAAAAAGCTAACAAACTGGTGTAACATCTTCACAAAAGTTGGCAAACCTATAACAATTTGTCCATAAGAAGGCATTTTGCTAGTATAAAGGTTATATGAAATACCAAGTTATCAATTACTTCAATATAAAGAATTGCAGTGGATTCGAGAGAGCTGCATAGTAGCTGTCTCAGTGTACTTGTGCATGCTGCTTTGCTTTATAAGCAAGGGACTTCCTTGAACGTATAGATGGAAAAGGAAGTGGAGTTTGGTATTTAATTTATTGGAGTGACATGGTAAATGTAACTCATTATATTTATGTATATCTAGTTTGCAATTGGATGAATGTTTGGTCGTATGAAATTAATGATCTATAGGTGGATCACATGTGCCACCTATAGTTTAAAAAATTTAGTTACGTTTTAGAACAAATGATTCCGGTTCAATTTCAAAGTTTTGTCGTGTAATTTACATCTCTACCATAATAGAACTGTTCTCCTTCATTTCTAAGTGACACTTGATGTATTTCATCTCTCAAATTTTGAAGATGGTAAACATGTTGGGCACTAACTAATTCTGCAGGGTTGTGTGGCCGCGTGATCTTTGCTATGTGCGCTACTGGAGACGAAACGATGATGGGAGCTATGGTGAGTCTTTAAGCTGTTTGCCCATTTCCTTTTCTTTTGTGGGCACATCCTACTAGTGTAACTGCTCTTGTTCTCATGTGCGTAGTTGTGCTATTTCGGTCTAGGGAGCATCCAAATTGCGGTGCACAACCAGGATTTGTCAGAGCCCATATTGAGAGTACCTTCTTTGTCTTCATAATCTAATGTTAAGGGCATTGAGCAAAATTATATTACCCTTGAATCCGTTTGTAATAGTTTGTCTATTTTGCTTAGCTTATCCTTTGTGTGCAGGTGGTGGATTCAAGATATCTCCTCTAAAATTACGAAATGGGAGAACTCGAACGCAAGTGCAACATCTAATGCAAATTGATTTAAAAGGATGGGGTGTTGGTTATTTTCCATCATTTCAGCAACATTGTTTGCTTCAGATGTTGAACAGTGTAGCTGGTGTTGCTCTTCTCCACTGTTAGATCAATTTGGTTTTTTTAAACTTATAATATAATTGATAAAGCAACAGTTTAGACCTTCAGCATTATTATTTTAGTTTCTTTTTCTTCATTCATGTTATCGTCTAGGTAACTCAACCACCTTCAATACTGTAATTGTCTTAAGGATGCTTATTTTTCTGCGCCTTAGTAGTGGATGTATTTATTCATGCATCTTAATGCTTCTTTTTTTTGGCCATTTGAAAGTTTTGTTTCATTTTCTGTAGGATTGCGCGAATGGTTTTCCCAAACAGATGATACACACATAGTCCCAAGGTTACCTGTTATGATGAGCATCGCTTCGGGCTCATTTTCTTCCAAGAAGGGAAGGAAAAGTCAGGACAACTCTAATCAATCAGTTTCTGCGGATCAATTGCATTCAGCCGGTGGACAATCTGTGTTATTGGATGAAGAATCAGATGAGGATGAAGATTACTTAAGCCCGGAGCCTGAAGAAGAGGTTCGTGGACATCATGTTTATAATTGTTTATATTTTTCACAAATCCTATGTGCAAAAGTGAAAATTTATACCCTGCCTTTGTTAGCTGGACTCTCAAAAGGCTGAGAATGCTATGAAGCAAGCAGGTTTGTGAGTCATCCCTTTTTGACTTTGCTGATAATCAGAAGCTGTATAGTGGGTGTCTAAATTCTGATTGTTTCAACGATGCGTTAAGATGAGGATCCATTGGAACTACTAGATTTGTCATCCTTTTCTGGTAATTTACGGCGTGTTGATCGTGATAATAGTCGGGATTGCTGGAGAATACCTGATGGAAACAACTTCAAAGTTCGTAGCAAGACTTTCTTTTATGACAAAACAAAGGTTTTTAGTTATTTTATTTCATACAAATTCTTTTTTTTGTTGCTTGATTGTAAGCGTGCCTTTATCAGCTTCTCTTGATCATGGAATTGGTTGTTTGTTTTGTAGATACCTGCAGGCAAGCCTCTCATGCAGCTAGTAGCAGTTGATTGGTTCAAGGATGTGAAAAGGCTTGATCATGTCGCGAGGAGACAAGGATGTGCGGTTCAAGTAAGCTGAATCCCAGTTTCATCCGTTTTTTATTATATAGTTTTTTCATATTTTTCAATATAAAATTTGATTGTGGGTAGATAATTCTCGAATGTTATTTATTTATATTTACACATGGTTGTAACGTTCGTCTTCTAACTTTAAATTGAAATTCTTTTGATTAGATTGTGTCCATATTATAAACTATGGTCTAAGATTTGTTTGTCAGACTGGATCTTGCATAGATTTGCTGTTTCGTAGATAAGAAGATGTGATTGCAGATTTATTTTTGTTCATCATTTCATTCTTACTGCCTACTTAAATTTAGATTAAGCAAGAATATTGTTGCTTCATGCTAGCCTAAAAATCATTTTTTTGAAGGAAATAAATTGTCACCTGTACAAAATTTTAAAATTATCAAGGTGGAAACAAACAGTGAAAATTAATTAATATCATTAACTAAAAATCATTCAAAAAGAATAAAAGAGCCACCAACGACAAAATTAATTAAGATAATTATGAATAAACTTACATTCATTCAGATTGACCGTTTCTATAAACATTCTCTCTTTTGTTATTCGTTTTCTAATCCAAGATTGAACTTGAAATTGTTCAAACGCAAACTACCAACTAGCTAGTGAATAATCATACTTCTGAATTATAATAACTAATAAGAAAATAAAATGTACTTTAGTAAAACAAAATAAATCAATATAAAAATAAATGACAATTTATTATTCAATTGCGACCATTTAAGAAAAGTTATGATATTCTATCATATGACGTATTTTCTTATCTTATCTATATCATTTTCATTTATCGTTTAAGAACCATCTAAAATGTATCAATGAAAGTATGTCAATATCAATATCTTTTTTCAATTTACGTACATGCCTACACTAGTGTCTCCAGCTTGGTGGCAATAAAGAGGCAAACTTCATCAATTATAATGCACATGTAAGCATACTGTATAGATTATTTCATTCGTAATCTATACATCATTTTATATCATTTTATTACAATTTGTATATAAAAATAAGAAAGTGTGTGAAGTTTGAGATTAATTTTTATATGATTAATTTGACTTGTTTAATAGTTTAATCATTACATGCTTGCAATATCAAGTTATCTAAATGAATGTCATTCCAGGGCAAATGATCTGGAAGAGAACCATAATTTAAAAGTAGAGTACTCACATTGGGCTCAGATGACTCATTTATCTTTACGTCCTATGACATATTCTTTAATAAAATACCTACAATCAAATATGTATTATTTTTTGTTAATTTTTTATTTAAATTATAATTTAATTTCACTATTTATTAACATTCTTGCTCTTAATTTATTTGACTAATTAAATAATCTATTGTTGCATATAATTGAAGTATTCTTAATTTACTTTTACAATAATTGAATCATTTTTTATTTTGATTACATTAATAATGAATACTGAAATTTAATTCTATTATCATATTTAGATTTTATCAATTATGTTTTTAATCAAACAACTTGAACATTAACTTCTAAGAAATCTGATCCTAGTCAACTTAATAATTATTTTTATTTATTCTATTAAAATATCATAATGCATTTATCACATTACATATTTTATAGTAATAAAAGTTATAGATAAAATAAACTTTTGAATAAAATTTTGTTTAAAACAATACTCTAAACATGTTACATCTTTTCATTCTCAACATCGTCCCTTGCTCATGGTTTGGTTCTTCCATCACACTGTGCTCTATTTTGCTCTCATACTTGGTACTCCCTAGACCACACTTTGATAGTTATCAGTCAAGACTTGCATGGCACTTCACCTACTTGATGGTGGGTTCTCTTGCTTGCTATCGCACAAGACACAGCTGCACGGCTGCACTGTTTGAGCACACACCTAGCAAACTTCCAGCAAGCGGCGCTCCCTCTTACTCTGCTTCCTTCATCTCCCGTGAGTGAGCACGACACAGGAGGCGTCGTCATCTCTAACACAGTAGCATCAACTTGCAGGGCGTCACTGTTCCAGCATTCGAAAACCCTAGCTCTACCTCCTCACTCTTTGCCTTGCTATGTCTCTTCTGGTTCAAAATGAAAATTTTGCTTTTAATAGCCAAACCGTTGAGACGATTGCTTCCTGTCAAACCGGCCTAATTGATATTCTTTATTTAATTTCTTATTTATTATTATTATTATTTCTATTATTATTTGTACACATAAAAATATATTAGCACGAATCTCAAAAGTAGATGGGTGGCTCAGGAAGAAGCGGACGATCGAGCGTAACCTTCGACAATTGTTTCCGGATGAATATTGACAAAGGAAGCACCTTGTCCAAGCAATCGACAGAAGAAACCGGGAGAAACTCCCACAGGGCGGTGATCAACATTTAGGACGATCGATAGGGAGCACTCTTTCAGACTATATATTGATCGAATCAAGGTTTGTCAAACGATCTACAATCGAAGCGACCCCCGGTCTTATTATATGTAAATAACTCTCCAATTACCAGAAATTCTCTGAAAAGTTAATAATAAGATGACAAATATTTACTTTTATAATATTGAAACTTAAGCCTATAAACAGTGGTTAATATCATGAATAAGACAACCTTTTTCTGTCTACCACTGCTTTCTCTCTCTCTCTTCTAATCACTCAACAGAACGTTCCATTTCTTGGGTGTGTTTTTGGGATACTTTTGGATTCAACATTCTTTAAGGTGCGGTGAGCATTGACACATGCCGTCAACATAAAAAAGAGTCCAACAACAACAATTGTGAGAGTCCAGTCAGAGGAACTAGGGACAAACGACATGTATCCAAGAGTTTATGGAAGAATTTGTTCAACAAGGCCTGTAAAATTTGAGGACTCAGATCACAAATCAAATGTTAGGAAAGTTTGTAAAAGTCCTGAAGGCGGGGATCCACCTGCAGGGGGTACATAAGAGTACAAACACCTACGAAGCGTGATCGAGGAGCTGATGAAGGAGGGGAAGTTGAAAAAATTTGTCGCCCCTAGAGCCGCAACCCAAAGGCAAGGCAAGTCCCCCGTGGAGGAGCGACCGACAGACCCATCCGCACCAACACCATTTCCATTGCGGGGTATATGCCTACAATATTTGGAATTAGCGAGCCACCCAGAAAGACAAGTCAGAAGAGACGGCAAACAAGGGAACTCTACATTGCAACCTTTGCCCAAGGGGTCATGTGCATCTATTTCACCTATGAGGATCTTCTCCAAAATGGAAATCCATATAACAATGCCATTGTAATAACAATGATAATTAATATTAACCAATCAAGGAGCGTTCTCAGTGACACAGGGAGTTCTATGAACGTACTATTCAAAGAGGTATTCAATTAGTTGAGCCTCACTGCGGATCGGATGTCCGCATTGGCCAGTCCGCTGTATTGATCTCGGGCGAAAGTGCTGGGAGTGGTTAAGATCCCAGTTGTATTGATCTCGGGCGAAAGTGCTGGGAGTGGTTAGGATCCCAGTAAGTTGGGGAGAAAATGAGAAATAATTTATGCTCACGGAAGATTTTCTTGTGGTGGATTCACCTCTAACTTATAACACTATATTCAACCGACCGCTGTTGAACAATTTTAGAGCAGTAGTCTCTACTTATCATGTTGTTGTCAAGTTTCCTGTAGATGGAGAAATTATCACAGTTAGGGGTGACCTGGAGCATTCCCGGGTTTGCTACTTGTGAGCTATAAGCAACGTAGAACATGATTCTCTGAACATCCAAAACGCGAGGGAATGTGGTATTGAGACGAACAAGAACACCCGCGGGGTTCCAACAGTCGAAGGAGAACTAGGTAGATGTTTTATGATAAATGAAGCTTTTGATGCAGGTCACAGGGAGTTGCTAGTCCAAATTCTGAGAAAATCAAGATATTTTCGCGTGGATGATTGCTGAGATGTCGGGCGTGTTGATTGATGCCGAGTGTCATATGTTGAACTTTGATGCAGTAGCTCGACTCTTGAAGCGGAAGATTAAGAGTTCGGTCATGACGTTGGGGGGACCCATCTAATAGGAAGTACTAAAGCTGGAGGAGGCAGGGTGCATTCGGGAAGTACAATACCCCACCTGGGTCTTCAATGTGGTGATGGTTCAGAAGGCCAACAGAAAATGGAGGATGTGCGTGAACTTCACCAACTTGAACTCTGCTTGTCCAAAGGACTCTTATCATTGACCGAGGATCGATGCTCTAGTGGATTCGGCGGTCGACCGCTCAGTTATGAGTTTCCTCGAAGCATTTTCTAGGCACCATCAGATCAAGATGCTCCCAGCTGAAGCGGAAGAAAACCTCTTTTATTACTTGGTGAGGGAGTTTTTTTTGCTATAATGTAATGCTCTTAGGGATTAAAAATGCTGGGGCGGCTAACAAACGCCTCATGAATGTAATTTTTGCTAATAAAAAAAGGAAGGAACATTGAGTTGTATGTCGATGATGCACTGGTTAAAAGTAGGTCGGCCGAACAACAAATTGAGGATTTAAAAGAAACATTTCTAACACGTAAAATGTTTAACATGGAACTAAATCTACTGAAGTGCACCTTTGGGGCCACGACAGACAAATTCCTGGGGTAAACTCTCGAAGGCATAAAGGCCAATCTAGAAAATATCCAAGCACTTCTCGATATGCCCTCTCCTAAAAACACTAAGTAAATCCAGAAGCTAATCAGTTGGATCGCAGGTTTGAGCATGTTTATCTCTAAGTTAGGTGATAAGTGCACCCCATTCTTTAATGTACTCAGGAGAGCTAAATGCTTCGAATAGACACCAGTATGCAAAGAGGCCTTCAGGAACCTCAAGTAGTTCCTCATCTCTCCTCCCCTCCTTCAGTGCTCGAAATTGAAGGAAAGGCTTTATCTTTACCTCGGGGTCGGCTCCGAAGCCATCAGTTCGGTTTTGGTTAGAGAAGAATGTGGAAAACAACATCCAATGTACTACACCATTCAGGTTCTCAAAGGCATTGAACTTCGATATCCAATAATGGAGAAATTGACCTTCGCCTTGG